ATGAATTCCATTTGCATTGTTGTCTTGTGCTCGAACTAGATTGTTTATACAACAACACATCATTTTGGCTTTCATTAAGTACCTGTGAGATAACCTATTACCTGTTCACACTTAGCAAACGGGTTAGTCCTTTAATCACGTTGTCATTCAATCAACCAAAACCCACTAAAGGGCTAGATGCACTTTCAGTCGATCCCGTTGATGTTGAAGTCAAGAGTGCTCTGCTCTGGCGTGGAAATAGATGGCCCTGTGTCGTCCTTTTGCTTGCTTGTAGATCAAACGTGGCCGCGTAGATGCAACTACGAGAACCTTCACGTGATGCATGTATATGCAAGTTGATCTGTCGTATCTTGGTCTGGCTTGCTGTTCTTGTGGAGGGGCACGAGCCTTCAAGGATCTTCTTGTATTGCTCATCTGAAAGCTCTAGTTTGGTTTTGGTTAATTGATGAAACCCTAGGTGCTAACCTAGTTTATCAAGATGTTTATGAGATAGGTAGCACTACTCCAAGTGATGAAGCAATGACGAAGATCATGACAATGGTGATAGCATGGTAATGATCAAATGCTTGAACTTGGAAAAGAAGAAAGAGAAAAACAAAAGGCTCAAGGCAAAGGTATAAAATGTAGGAGCTATTTTGCTTTAGTGATCAAGACACTTAGTGAGTGTGATCACATTTAGGATAGATAGTCGTACTATTAAGAGGAGTGTAACTCGTATCGAAATGCGGTTATCAAAGTGCCACTAGATGCTCGAACTCATTGCATATGCATTTAGGATCTAGTGGAGTGCTAACACCCTTGAAAATATTTGTGAAAATATGCTAACACATGTGCATTTAGGATTCGGTGCTTTTGGAAAAATGAAATGTCTATTTTCTATTGCGCCGGATGCAAAATTCTTGGTGGTTGGCACATTCGAGCAAGGGTGAAGAAGTTAGAGTTGAAATGGAGTTGGTTGAAATGATGTTTGGCGTCGGTCTCTCGACCGGAATATTTGGTCACTCAATGACCGGACGCCTGAAAGCTCTCGCGTCCGGTCGGAAGCCGTCGAGACGGCGATGGGTAAGGTTGAGCACCGGACGCTGGGTCTGCGTCCGGTCAAAAGTGGACGGACGCGTCCGTCAAAAAAAACATGCTCGGGGAGCTTTATCGAAATGACCGGACGCTGGGGCTTGTTGTCCGGTCGATTTTTGACCGGAGCGTCCGGTCAACCGTGAGCCGTTGAAATCGGCGAAACGGCGTTTGAAGGCTGGTGACGTGGCGTCCATTGATTGACCGGACGCCGAGGGCCAGCGTCCGATCGGTATGACCGGAGCGTCCGGTCGAGGCGTGTTTACTTGATGATGAAGGGTACAACGGCTCTATTTGATGGGGGCTCTATTTATAGCCCCATGGCTGGCTCAAGGGAGCTCTCTTGCACATTTTCATTGACATAGCAACCTTGTGAGCTTAGCCAAAGCCCTCCCACTCATCTCCATCATTGATCCATCATCATTGTGAGATTGGGAGAGAATCCAAGTGCATTGCTTGAGTGATTGCATCTAGTGGCACTTGGTATTCGTGTTCTTATTCATGGATTTCGCTTGTTTCTCTTGGTGGTTGCCACCACCTAGACGGTTGGAGCAGCGGTGAAGGATCGGCATGAGTTGGTGATTGTTCGTGGCCGCCTTCGGTGATTGTGAGGGGAGTTGTACCTTCCCCGGCGGAGTGACGAAAGGTAACTCTAGTAAATTGCTCGTGTCATTGAGTTACCTCACTTGTGGGTCGGTTCTTGCGGTGTCCTATCGTGTGGACGAGATTTGTGAAACACCTCTTAGCCGCCGAACCACCAAGTGTTGGTCGACACAACGGGTACTAGCGTGTTGGCAAGCACGTGAACCTCGGGAGAAAAATCGGTTGTCTCTTGTCATTTGCATTCTCCCGGTGATTGTCTATATATATTCATCGTGTAATTGGTTCACTCCACGACCCGGCGGTATAATCGTCTCACTTACTCATTTATATTTCCGCAAACTAGATATAGCAAGCTCTTTAGTGTAATTAGAATTGAGAGCTTGCCTTGTGCTTTAAACATATCTAGTGGAGCTCTTTAGTGTAGCTTTTGTGAGAGCTCTTAGTGAGTAGTGGTCAAGTAGATTGTGTGCAAATAGATCATTGCAACTAGAATTATTGGATAGGTGGCTTGCAACCCTTGTAGAGCTAGAGCAAGTTTGCATTTCGCTATTTGTCTTACTAATCAAATTGCTCTAGTTGATTTGTAGTTTTTAAATAGGCTATTCACCCCCCCTCTAGCCATATTAGGACCTTTCATCATCGTAGTTTCGCTTGGCGCGGGGTTCGTCGACGATGGCGACGATGTTGTCTGGTCGGCGACGTCGGTACTGGCCAGCTTTGGACCCTTCTGGTCGACCACGACCACTGTCCTGATGGTGGCCGTGATTGTCATAACGGCGGTCGCTGTGGCGTCTTTCATCGGGTCGATCATCGTTGCGGTGAGCAGGGCGATGAGTGCTCGTATCCTTGTTGAGGCGGACTTTAGCTTCTTCGGCGTCGGCGTACTGATCGGCAGTGGTGATCATCTCTTCAATCCCCTTCGACGGCTTGCGATTGAATTTGGAGCAGAGGTCGCGGTGATGGAGTCCCCGGACGAAAGCGGAGATGACTTCTGCTTCCGCGATGTTGGGAATAGAATTCCGCATCTCGAAAAAACGCCTGATGTAGCTACGGAGGAGCTTGGACGAATTCTGATAAATGCGATTAAGATCATGCTTGGTGCCCGGCCGAGTGCACGTAGCCATGTAGTTGTCGGTGAAAACTTTCTTCAGCTGTTCCCAGGATTCGATGGAATCTGGGGCGAGGCTCGTGAGCTAGTTCATCGCAGTCGATGTGAGCATGACGGGAAGATAGTTTGCCATGACGCTGGTATCTCCCCCGGCAACGCATACGGTGGTGGCGTAAGCTTGTAGCCACTGTGTGGGGTTCATTCGCCCCTCGTAGGGCTCGACCCCTGTGATTTTGAAACCACGGGGCCACTGGAGTATTCGGAGTGCTCCGGTAAAAGCTCAAGGTCCCTCGGGATCTTCACCATTGAGGTCCACGGCATTGCCGACATTGAGTGGCTGGAGGCCCGTCATCCGGGTTGTCGAATTCTTGCTCGTACTCTTGACGCCGGTGTACTTCCTCTTCGTGCCAAGAGAAATGGCGCCCATCGATATGACGTCATACATCCCAGAGGTTGTTGATGTGTGCTTAGACGTCTTGTTCAACTTCCTGGTCACTGTGGCGTTGACGCGCGGAGGAGGGTTGTTGACAACGTTCCCCCTAGCTCCGCCCTGGAGGAATTGTCCACCATCGCGATGTTGGTCGGCGAAGCGGCTTCGACCGTGGTGGCGATTGGATCTTGGCACGGTGGATCGGTGATTCGAGTTTGTCGAGCAAGAGGGTCCATGATCCTGACGGATCTCGTTGACCTGGCAGTGCGCAGCTTTGAGCATCGCAGCAACCTTGGCAACCTCTGGCGTTTGCTCGAGTCGAGCAAGCTCATTGGCAACCATGGACAAGTTGGCGCTTGGGGTCTTATAGACTTCGTGGCCATCGACGCGGACGAATTCGTCGTTGAGGTTGCGGCGGAGAGGGCGAGGTCGACTTTGGGAGTCGAGCAGTTCCCCATTGTGAGCGACTTCGGCGAGCACGATAGCGGCCTCATTCGCTCGGCGTTGTGCACGGTTGACGCGTGCCGCGCGGTCCTCATCGTTCTCTCCATCCCGTGAAGGGCTGTCGACGGTGACGTTGAAGATCGCACCTCCACGGAAGGGTGGAAAAGGATGTTGGACGGTGATGGTCTTGGCGATAATCTTCGTAGAGCCCTAGAACTCAGAGTCTGGATTTCCTTCTAGGATGGTGCGGAGGGATTCTTTGGGATACTGGCCAATCTGCAGCATGTTGACAGTCGATGAGCGATGGTCAGCGATCTGGTCGGCGAGAGGATGGATATCTCCAACCTGGTCGGCGAATTTGCTCCTTAGGGCATCTTGGTGGATGGTCACCGTATCTCCCAGGATTTCCCACCCGGCTTCGATAGATCGGAACCAAAGGCTGATCGGCGGTGAACCGGAGTGTTCAAAGGTGACTCCACGAGGGAGAGACAATCGGCGAGCTTCTGGCCCATCTGATCGATGGATGCGATCAGATCGTCCTTGCTGACCCGCTTCCTAGGGTAGCGGGGCAGCGGGCGGCGAGTTGCTGGTGAAGACGACCTCGGAGGTGGTTCCAAGATCGGATCAGCTGCTGCAGGTGTTGAAGTAGTCGGGGCAGAGTCGATCTACACCGGCTTGATGATCTCTCTGTTCCCATCAGCATTGATGATCCAGGAGATCGATTCAATCGTGAAGATCTAGCTGGGCTTCGGGGAGGACAAAGAGCTCGAGAGATATTGCGTAAACACGACGTAATACCCTACTCCTGTGGTATGTTGGTTTGTATTTGGTATCGTATGATATTGCGTAATATTACATGTCTTTGGAGGGGTCCTGGCCGCCTTATATAGTCTGGCGACGTTCGTCGCATCACAGTTCGGACGGCGCGGACACGTGCTCCGCGCGCTCGGTCTCCACTGGGCGCGCCGCGTCCGTTCCGCCTGCATGCCAACCGTCTCCCGCCCTCGAGCCTCGGGAGCCAGCGGCTGGTGAGGCACCTCTTGATGCGGATGCTGCTGCTGAGGCACCTCTGGACAAGGATGCTGCTGGTGGCGTGGTCGGCGCAACCTCGATCGCGGACGCTAGCCACGGTGACGCTGCTGTTGCTCCGCATGACGCCTCCACCGGCATTGACTCACCGGTGCGCCCGAGCCAGGTTCCCCAGGCACTCCTGCGTCGGGTGATGAAACCACCGGTCTCACCGCGGACGAGGGCTCGGACGTCGCTGCTCGCAATGGTGGTTGTCCCCCGCTCTGCCGCACTGCTGGCAGCGGAGGATGCTCTCTCTCTCTGGCCCTTGTCGCCATGGTGGTCGAGACGCGGCCACCGGTTACCACCGCGATGATGAGGGCTCACCTCAATGAGGTCTACGGCATCGCGGGAGACCTCTTCACCGTGCATCGGCATCGCCTTGAGGACTTCATCGTGCGCTTCAGTCGCATGGAGGACCTGGAGATCGTTCTGGGGACTCCGACGTCGGACAACGCGCCGTTTCCCTTGCGCTGGCGGCAATGGAGCCGCCTGCCCATGGCGTCGGCGGGCTCATTCCACTTCCGCGTTCTTGTCGGGATGAAGGGGATCTCGACGCATGCCAGGTCCAAGGAGACTGCCCAGACCATTCTTGGGGCGTCATGCACCAACACGGAAATCGCTGATGATGAGGCGCTGCACGATCCTGATGATCAGCGCGAACAGTTCGTGGCGACGTGGTGCGCCCACCCTGACCTCATCCCTAACGAGCTCATCATGGCGGTCCCCGAGCCTAAGGAGCCACATGACGGTGGCTCGCCGTCCTACCTCCGGCCTCACGAGATCATCCACTCAGAGGTTCCGGCGTTGCGCTACCTCATCAGGCTTTGGCTAGTCGAGTTCCAGGATTGGCATACTCCTCCGACCTCTAACGTCGAGGGCTATGGCTACGGGGACGGCGACAGCGGCAACAGCGACAGCAACTTCAATGGTTACTGGCCGAGTTTCTGTGATTGCGGCGGCGGCGGCGCTTGGCCGCGCACTACGCGGTTTGGTGGGGACGACGACCCTAGGCTGGGCCGTGGGTCCGGCCTGTCATTTAGGCCACGTGAGGCATCACGGTGGCCTGCCCGGTCCAGTCGCCGCGCCAGCCCATGCTGCGTCGGAGAGGTCACGTCGTCTGAAGGAGCCAGCTTGCAAATCTCTACCGCTAGGATTCCCGCAGTGGGTGGGACGCGTGTCGCCGTCGGGGAGGCTCGGACAGTTGACTCTCCTCGAAAGTAGCTGACGCCGCCTGGGATGCTGAGGCCTCCCTGCGCACTCCGCCGAAAGTAGCTGACGCCGCCTGTGCTGTGCAGGCCCATTCCTTCGACCCCGCGGCCATGCCTCTGGAAGTCGCTGCCGTGGTGTGGTCAGGAAGGCGTTGGATGAAGACTTTGGGCTAGTAGTGGGCCACTTGGGCTGCCTGGCCTCCGACTCTGCGGACGGGCCGTCCTTCCTATTCGAGCCGAGTACGTCGGCCTTGGAGCTTGATGGGCCGCTGAGCATGCTGCACTTCATCGACGACTGCCTCGCGGCCCATGTGAACACCGGACCGGATGGCACGCACCTGTTCCTCGCATCCTCGGGCGAGCGGCCCTCGATGCATGAGGCGCCAGCCGCCAGGGGTTGATCATGCTGTCCAGGCACCTAGCACGGATGGTGAGCCGAACAACCACGTTCGCCCTACGGTGGAGTCCTTCATCGCCAAGTACAAGAAGCCTCTCGAGCAACCGATCCTATCCATGCCGCGCCTACGCTCGACGAAGGTTTCTAGGTCTGTGGAAGATGAAGAGAAGTGCTCGCCTCGCGGCAAAGAGCAAGTTCCGTGAAGAGAAGCAGAAGCACAGGCCAGGAAGGTGATGATGCGACGCCTCGACCTTGACAGCGAGACGGTTGTCCCCGACGAGGCTTCCTTCGAGGAGTTCCAGCTCCAGGCGGCTTTCACCCTCCCGCTGTCGCCGTCCAAGCGCGACGCCATGAACGCCCTGTTCCCGGGTCGGAAGCAGCAGGCACTCGGTGTTGTTTGCGCCGCCTAGTATGCTACTGTCCTCTGTCACACCGCCTCTCTTTCATGTTAGGCCAAAACATCTTAGGCCTGTTTGATTGGGCTTTTGGCTTTGGCTTTTAGTCCCAAAAGTTAAAAGCTCAACCAAAGGGGTTGTTTTGGAGGGTGCTTTTTCAGAAGCAGCTGTTTTTCCGTAGTTCATTTTTGAAAGCTGGTTTGATCCTGCTTTTGGCTTTTGGCTTTCGGCTTTTCGAAATTGGTGGAATAAAAAGCTCTTCCATAGTTGTTTCAAGAGAGATAAAGATAAAAAGTATATTTTATACTTGTTTAACCAAACAAATTTTCAAACTTTTCTTTTGTACCAATTTCACAGCAGTTTCCACGCACCACACACATGCGCAGCTTTCTCCCACATGGCCTTAGTCTACAATGTGCGCGGCTGCACTTTCGCAAAGCAGGCCTGGTTTGCACTTCTTCACCCGCTGCAGCTCGACATGCTCATGCCGGACGCTGGGGACGAGATCGCGTCCTGGTGGCTTCATCAGAGATCGAGGATCGCCTTGGCGGATAGGAAGGTCTTTGACTCCTCGTTGCTTCTGGTAGCCTGGTGCCTCTGGAAAGAAAGAAACGCGCGCGTGTTCGGAAGGCCAGCATCGTGCGTGAACGACGTCGTGCGCGCGGTCGTGCAAGAGGGGGAAGAGTGGGCGCTCGGCGGTTTCCTGCCGTTTGTGGCACTAGCCGAGCTGTGGTCGCGTAATCGTGTATCCATGTAACGACCTCAGTGTATCCAGTAGCCTAGGTTCCCTCTGGCTTGGTATCAGGTAGCTCCTCGCCGCCTAATTCGTTGTCCCGGTGTTTGTAAACTCCTTCCCTCTTAATGAAATACGGGTATGATCCCGCCTCGCGAAAAAAATATTTGGTCAGAAAACTACGGCCAGAGACCTAAATAATCACCGAACTGAACGATGCCCGCTGCTGATCTCTCTCTCTCTTTGAAAACTGCTGATCTCTCTTTTGACTTTGCGTGTGTGTGCTTCGCCAGAATTCACAAGATACACAGGATTTTTCAAACTCGAAACCGCCAGAGATTTCGTCGGTCCAAATTAACTCCAAAAGTCCCATGGACCGCCGCTCGCGGCGGGGAGCGACGGGGATGGGATGGCCGGATGGGGCCGCGCCACCCAGCAAGTTCGTTCCCTTCCGAGCGGAGGCAAACCCCAAAAAAAAGGGGAGCGCGTAGCGTAGGAAAAGCCAGCGAGGCCCGGGGCATGGCGATGGCGACCTCGATCGGGCCGAGACCACCGGTCTGGTCTCGCGCGCAGATGCACCCTGGGACGGCGAGGCACGGAGGCAGAGAAGACGACGTCCGGTCCGAGCCGGCCTCGCCGCGCGTGGGCTGGGGTGGCCGAGGCCGACGGCACGCACCGCGCACGACGGCAGGCACGGCCAGTGGCGACCACACGGACGGAAGACGGAACCAAAGCTCCGTGTTGGCGAGACGTGGCTACGTGCACAGATGCGGATATGCCGTCGCATTTCGTCTGATGGCCCCCTATCAGCCTCGACGCCTTGCTACCCAACTCGGGTGCAGATTTTTGACTGTCAAGGAATATTGAGTCTACTTCGTCCATTTCTAATCAAATCAACTTATAAAGTTATTACAAGTTAAAAATTTTGTGAGGTTTGATCGAATTATAATGGATTTGATTGAAATTTGACTCAAGACAATTCTGTAGATTGAATTATTTGAGGGCAGATGGAGTATTCTACCATGTATTACTATTTAACTATTCATTGATACGGTCCCACTGGTGAACATAGAAATGAATGGATTGTGAAAAAAGAGATCGCACGCTCAAGTTGGTTTAGTGTTGCTAATTCGGCACGATCAAGTTGGTTTAGCATGCGACTGGCATATGTTTCTAAAAAGAAAAATTTATGGGGCGTGTTTGGTTCCTAGGTGAGTTCGTCTTGCCTCACCGGCGCAGCAACGAGGGCCTTGCCAGCCTAGGCGAGCCAACTTGACTTGTTTGGGCTAGCAAGTGCAGTGGCGTCTGAACTTCACCATCACCCACGCAAGGCCTCACAAAAGATTGCTCGACATCCAAACGTGCGGCTTTCTCAGTATCCTGGCTAGATAAGGCGGTACAGTGGCTGGCAAAGAAATCAAACAGGCCTATATTCCTTGCCTATAGGATTTTTAAAAAGGCATGGTAAAAAGGTCGAGAACTTATTCTAGATTTATTTACAAGTCCAATCTCGATCCCTACCCCCAACTAAACAGTCACTTACCTCAATCATCATAACTACGTACATAGCAAAAAGAAGAAGAACATGTTTTGTTGCAAAGCACAATATAAAACAAATTCTTTATATATATATGTATATATATATTCATTTCTACGAGTGTATTTGAATGACTGAAGTGGAAGTTTTTGAGACCAACGAAATCACCATAGACGCCTAGTTGTCAAGAAACATGTCGCTTACTACTTAAATCACAACGCTTCTAAATCCTAAAATAAATTCATAAAAATATGAACCCACGTAATATTGAATATTGTATTTGTATTGTACACACCACCAATCATTATTGTTGTCCTATAATCATGACACGTCGCCAGATTTTAGTTGTGCGAGAAAGAATGAGATTTATCTATATTCTCAACAACAGCACCAGTTCCCCCTAACAGTTTAAAACACTGTACGCCCAAACAAACGCAAAAGCACACACAAGAAAAAGATCTAGAACAAAATTGTATTGGACAGAAAAATCCACGAGAAAAGGCTCCAAAATTGGCCTATATAAACCCACCTCCACCTCACCCCATCCAAAGAATTTGCAGCAGCAGCAGCTCTCTCACTCCCTCACCTTCTCCCTTCACTCTCTTCAGGCTTCAGCTTCCCTTCCAAAACCCAAGCAAAGCCAAAGCCCCGGAGGACCACCAGGTGGTAGCAGCCGGCCGGTGCCCCCAAGCTGCGAGGCTACAGCTAGTCCATCTCACAGAGCCCGACAGCCATGGCGGCCGCCGGAGCAGCGCTGCGGCTGCGCCTCCTGTATCGGATGCTGCGCGTGGGGGAGCTCCTCGCGCTGGTGGCGTTCCTCTCCTGGTCGTCGTCCCGCGTGCCGTCCGCCGCCGCCGCCGCCGTGCTGCCTTTCGCGGGGTCGCTCCTCCTCAACGCCCGCTTCGTCTTCGTCCTCGGGAACGCCATCGTGCTCCTCCTCCTCGCGCTGTCGCCCCACGACCTCTCCGCCTCCTCCTCCTCCTCCTCCTCCAGCGGCCAGCAGACGGGCACGGCGGCGACGAGCACGACCGCCGCCCCGCCGCCGCAGGATGCCGCGCCGGCCCCCGCCAGCGCGAGCTTCCCTTCCTCGTTCGCCGGTACTCCACTATAGCCACCGGCTCCCGCCACCTCGCTGGAGGCCTTCAGCGCGCCGCCGCCGGTTGCAGCAATGGAGGCAGCAGCGCCGGCGGACGCGGGCACGGCGTTCGAGTCCGACGACAGACCACCGGCGCCGCGGGTGAGCAAGCTGGCGCGCGCGCCGAGGCGGAGCAGGTCGGAGAAGATGGGCCCGCGGGTGCTGCAGCTGAGGCGCGCGGCGTCCCCGCCGCCGACCCCCGAGCTGCGGCGGTCCGAGTCGGAGAACGGGCGGCGGCGGTCGTCCGTGTCGGCGCGCGACGCGCGGGCGTGCGGATGGGGCGGGGCGCGGACGAGTTCCGGCGCACGGTGGAGGCGTTCATCGACAAGCACAAGCGGTTCCACCGCCAGGAGTCCATGACGATGGCCGTCGTCGCCGGCTCCGGGGCCGGGCACTGCGAGGCCGCCCCGGCCTTCACCGGCGCCCACGCCCTGTGCAGAGTACATAGCGGAGGCGGAGAAGCTTCCCTGGCTGAACTTGTCGTCCCGTGTCCATAGTTTGCCATGGCTGGTGGCTCCTTCCTGTTCTTCAGAAGGGCCACCTTTTTTCTGTGTTTTTTTTCCTCGGCGCGTGCGTTTCTCCGTCTCGCCATAGGAACCCTGCGACTACGAACGGGGGTTTAGAGAGCCGTTCAGGTCTGCCGTTCGATCGCGGCGTGGATCGGATCCAACAGAGCGATCGATAGTCTGTGCTCTGGTCTGGCAACGAAGGAATTGGACGAAAATTGCATGCATGCTGGATGTTTCGTTCCTCTCTGGTGCTGCCGAATTTCTTTATGCTGGTTGCTGGCAGCGGCTGGGTGGATGAATGGAGAGCGATCCGTGTGACAAATGACGCGACGCGTCAGACAAATCCAGAATCAGAGGCGAGCAGGGGTAACCCAAAGAAATCGCCTTTACTCCAATTATCATCACTGTGCACTGTGCAGATATGTACGGAGCATTAAATATAGATGAAAAAAATAATTAATTACACAGTCTATATGTATTTTGCGAGACGAATCTTTTAAGTCTAATTAGTTCATGATTGAACTCTAATTACACATATGCTACGATACCTCCCAGAACTTTGCAGCCCTTAAACCAAACACGCCCCTAGTTTCATGGAAGGGAAATAAAAAACCGTACTACTGCTGGTCTAGAATCGATCGACACACTTAAAACCCATGGCGTTTTTATCACTGCAAGGAAGCATTAAGCAGCATGTAAAGTACTACTGGTATTAATACAGTACATCATCGACAGTAACAGCAGTGAAGAAGCGTCGCATGCATTGCAGTCGCAGGGTCTCTGTCTATTTGAATCCGAGGATGTCGGCCGGGTTGGTAGTGGTGGTACGACACAGACGGCAAGCTTTTGCTAGCAGCTCGATATGTCCGCTCTCCTCCGTGGTTGGGTACTTGGGTTGGCTTCCTTCCTTTCCTAGTCCTAGAAGACTGCTGGTTGTTGGCAGCAAGCAGGTGGCGAGGCGAGGCCAACGCACTGTTCGTCTGCTCCCCGTCCGTGGTGAGTGGTGACTCGGTCGGCTCCACCTCCGCGGAGGAGGGAGCAGAGAGAGAACGGAAAGCGGACGTGCGGAACAAATTCCTTGTCGATTCGCCACTAGCGCCCGCCACCTCCACCCATCCACCACTTGGCTGGTTGGCGCTGGCGGCGGCAGGGCAGGCTCCAGCTCCGGAATGTCTCGGCGAGACCCCAAATCTTCCTGGGGTTCGATTCGATTGGAATTGGATCGATCTTGTTGTTGGTCTTGCTGGTGTGGTGCGTTGCACGTTGGGGTCGTTTTCGCTTCGCCCTGTTTTTGTTGTCGTTTGATGCGCGGCACAATCCCGTCCCGTCCCGCCTGCTTGCCCCGCCGAAGGAAGCTGCTGCCCCTGTTGCTGCTGTTCGGATAACCAAATGCAGCGGGATTGCATTCATTCAAATTCAGAAGCAAAACTCACCCTGGCTACAGCGGGATTGCATTGCATCTATATGTGGAGTAGTGGAACACACAGGCACCATCAACTTTGAGCTCAGCGGGATTGCGTTGCATCACATGTGAGCAGGCTTCATTCGGCAAGGGTGTATGTATGTGTGTATATAAGAGAATCTATACACTAACCTGCTGCTGGTGTCTCCATCTACATCTCCAATACAGCGATGTGCACCATCCATCCAATCCAAGAAGCAAATTATATACTAGTTAAGTACTGCAAGTGCAAACAAATCATCATGGTACCCGCTCGTGATCATGGTTCCAAGCAATTTCGGTGACAGCAAGTAACTCACCAGTCAGCAGTCACCACCCCAAGGCCCAACCAACCAGTACTTGGACAAACTGAAAAAGAAAAACTGCACCTTTCCTTCCCTTCCCTTCCCATGCCGGCGAAATACTACACTACTCACTACTGCAGTACTGCGTAAATGTTTCTCTGCAAGCTTCTTTTATGTGCTTTTTTGGGCGCTTGCATGCTTTCCGTCGCTTTATCTGCTCCGAATATAGTTTCCTTCTCCACTACCGAGAGTATACTAATATCAATGTTATCCACTGCTACTAGTATTAGTTTGTTGCCGGTTCCCTCCAAATCCATTATCCACGAAATGAATGATTCCTCCTGGCGTGGCAGCGGAGACAAAAGGCAGGGTCAACATCCCCCAAATGCAAAGCCCATATTCCCACGCATAATTTTACAACTTTATTTGCCGCATCCTTTTTAATCTTATATACTATATACTGGTCCCTCCGCCCTAGAAAAAAAATATAATTCTTGGTTTGGATTGAGTGGAACTTTTATAACGTAACACCCTCGGTGTTACCGCGCAAAACAACTCACCAAAACATGTCATGAGCATCATGTATGTGATTTTGCATGTGTTGAAGTGTGTAGAACCATTTTAGTAACTTAAAATAACTAATAAAAATGTTAAATGGAAATTGACGCAATAGCCCTTGTTATATTACTTAAGGTTTCTTTTAGTAGCTTGATATACCAGCTAGAGCGTAAAATAGGTGGCGTAGCCACTAGATCATCGAGTTGGCTTTCTGGAACAGTTTTTAAAAGCGTACAAGACACGTTTTTGGATTGGTGCCAGCATCTGGCCGCGGTCCCCGTGGTGTGGCATACAGCGCATACCTAGATAACTGAGATCAATAAAGACATGATTTAATCTAAATGCAGTTACTGAGATCAATAAAGACATCTGGAATAAATGAAATCACAGGACGAAAATCATAAAAAAATGAAATGCACTTGTCGACAGTAATGATTCTCACATGGTGCTTCACTTTCTAAGTTGCTAAGACTATGGATGTGGTACAAGAGAGGCACAGAAAAACTGAAAGTCTCTGCTTGGATACAGTTCAAGTTCGGGAGCGATCCTGAAATTGTCAGGCCAATAAAGCAGTTAAAATAATTCAATGGTTGTTCCATGGACTCATCAGTCATCAGCGTTGAGCTTAAGCTATGCTCTGAACCTGGACCCACTGGATAGTTCATAGAATCACTCGTGCGGCCGCACGCGTGTAGACTTGCCCTCGCTTTCACGTTTACACGCGAGGCCACGCAAAGTTTTTTTGTCACGTTGTCTGGAAGGTCGTTGGCCGGCCGAGCCGCGCCACGCCAAGACCAAACCACTGAGCTGGCTCATCCTTGTTATCGCGCACGTTTGGAGGACGGATGGGAGTACAACTTCGTGCCTTACCCACCACTGTGCGGTAGTACGATGTCGGGGCGTTGATTCCAGTTTTCGCCATCGCCGGCCGCCATAAGTTCCGAACGTCGTCGCCCAAGCAATTGGCCTTACGTGCTCCACATCTTTCTAATTAACCACGCACACATCGAGCTCGGATAGTTAGCTTCCGATTTGGAGTCGTCTCGGCGAGCGTTCGTCTTGCTGTGAGGTAGTGCGGGGCATCTCCTCGCGGCTCCGGGCGACCTCCAACGCGGGCTCGGTGATGTTTGCCGGCTCATCCGCACCCTCTCGTCCTTCTGCATCGAGCCAGTAGCAGCGCCGTGAACAGCACACCGGCGTGCTTTGTTCGCCGGCGACCACCACCGCACCATGCTCGCGCAGGCAAGCAGAGCAAGCTAGCAGCCGGTGGTGCGTGCCTTTGCTCTTAGCTTGTTGACATCATTCCTGACATCATCCCTGCGTCACATCTATTTTAGTGCCGCTTTCTTGTAGGAAAATAAATCAAATATTTATTCAATATAGTTTTTAGCTGCACTTTGATAAATTGTAGTAAATCTTGTAGATATCCAAAAATAGTGAAACCAAGTTTGTTAGGTTCACAAAAATGTCATCTATCTGTTAGTGTAGTTAGGTTACAGTTAGTTGTGATAGTGATGGGCTCATAAATCCAAACTAGAGAGCTCAGTATTATGTAGATTAATATTTATAGGAATTTTTGTGGGAAATGGGTGATAGCTATAGCTATGAAAATTTTATAGTAAGCTCACTAGATTATTATGTACTTGCTGTAAATTTTGTAGCCCTAGAGTAGGTTGACAAATAGAGTAGCTATTATCCTTGTTTTAGTATATATAGATTAAATCGGTATTAGGAGTAAGAATACCTTTAGTTGACGTGATAATGTATGTCATGCTTCGTACTTGTTAATGGTAACAGTAGGTAACTTAGTACCTTAGCCGGTAACACTAGCTAGTAGTTAGACAGATGTATTTTTGTTTTAAGAGTTGTTGTTGCCATATTACTAAGTATTGCGTCATCATTTCATGCATGTAGATCATGAGTTTGTAGAGTTCGTGACCACGGGAGAACAAGAGTTCGAGGAGGTGATCGAAGAGGACGAGGAGAAGATCTTCGTGTCGGAGGAGTTCCAGGAGCCGCCCGTGACTGACACCACTGACGCTGCACTTGCCCAAGGCAAGCCCCGGTGCATAACCTGTATTTTTGGATAATTTTTACCTATCTATATGTGGTGCATTTACGTTGCAGGAATTTTATGATACCCACATGCATATATTTATATCTACCTATGAGTCCTACTAGTGCAGGTTCGAGTAGTGCTTTGCTTAGGTTTAACGGCAGCGTGGGTAACCTGTCGTTACTCACAACAGGGATTATTATTATCATGATCTCATAATGAAAATGGGAGAAAGAAAAATGTTGACCGGACAGAGATGTGGTATGGGTATTAGTGGGTGTAACAGGGTGTGTCCTGCGGCCACGGGGCATAGCTTGGTTGCACTATTTTTCCTGTCCGTGTCAATTAAGGACCGTTCGTTGCATGGATCCTGGTCAAGTCACAAACTTATTAACCCGAGCACATACTTGTTTATGGGAGCGGGAAGACTTGTTCCTCTCTTGTCATGGATTCCGGCTCTTTCCGGACCGACTGTTATAGGTGGATTATGG